GATTTCTCGTTATGACACATGGAGATGTTCTTCTTATGGATCAAGATGAGCCCAGGACTTATCAACTAGAAGTGTCTAGCCCAGACTCTGAGAAATGGTTTGAAGCCATGAGTTCTGAGATGGATTTCATGTCAGTAAACCAAGTATGGACTTTGGTTGAACCACCTGAAGGGGTCAAACCTATAGGGTGTAAATGGGTTTTCAAGAAAAAATTGACATGGATGGTAATGTTCAAACATACAAGGGGCGATTAGTCGCTAAAGGTTTCTGAAAAATTCATGGTGTAGAGTATGACGAAATATTCTCCCCTGTAGCTATGTTTAAGTCCATTCAGATCTTGCTCGCAATAGCTACATTCCATGATTATGAAATCTAGCAAATCGACGTCAAAACTGCTTTCCTTAATGGAAAACTTGAAGAGGATGTGTATATGACACAACCAGAAGGTTTTGTCATTCCAGGAAGTGCTGGAAAAATTTGTAAGCTACAGAGGTCTATTTATGGACTAAAGCAAGCTTCTCGAAGCTGGAATCTTCGTTTCAATGATGCAATCAAAGAGTTTGGTTTTATCAGAAATGAAGATGAGCCTTGTGTTTATAAGAAGGCTAGTGGGAGAATTGTTTCTTTCCTAATGTAGATGACATACTCATCATAGGAAATGATATACCTACTTTACAGTCTGTTAAGACTTGGTTAGGTAATAATTTTTCTATGAAAGATTTGGGTGAGGCGGCGTATATCTTAGGAGTTAAGATCTATAGAGATAGATCAAGATGACTTCTAGGTCTGAGTCAAAGTACATATATAGACAAAGTGCTGAAAAGGTTCAGTATGGAAGAATCCAAGAAAGAATTTTTGCCTATGAGACATGGCATTTCTCTTTCGAAGAAAATGTGTCCTTCGACTCCACAAGAAAGAGAACGGATGAATAAGATTCCATATGCTTCGGCTATTGGTTCAATCATGTATGCCATGATATGTACTCGACCAAATGTATCGTATGCTTTAAACATGACGAGTCGGTATCAAGTGAACCCTGGTGAAAATCATTGGGTTGAGGTTAAAAATATCCTCAAGTACTTAAGAAGAACTAATGATAAATTTATTGTCTATGGAGGGGAGGAAGAGCTTAGTATAAAAGGTTATATTGTTGCCAGCTTCCAAACTGACAAGGATGACTCATGATTGCAATCGGGTTTTGTGTTTTGTCTTAATGGAGGTGATGTGAGCTGGAAAAGTTCGAAGCAAGACACAGTAGCTGATTCTACAATAGAGGCATAATACATTGCAGCCAGTGAAGTAGAAAAAGAGGTTGTTTGGATCAAGAAGTTCATATTGGAATTAGGGGTTGTTCCCAGCATATCAGATGATGTAGAACTCTGTTGTGATAATAAAGGAGCCATTGCACAAGCAAAGGAACCCAGATCTCATCAATAATCCAAACATATTCTTAGGCGTATTCATCTCATTTGAGAGATCATAGATCGAGGAGATGTCGAAATATGCAGAGTACACATGGATGACAACATTGTTGATCCCTAGACGAAGCCTCTTACACAGCAGAGGCATGATCGTCACACTGAGTCACATTGTATTAGATATGTGAGTGATTGGTATTAGTGCTAGTGGGAGATTGTTAGAGTATGCCCAAATACCAATCATATGATGATTATAATAATATATTTATTTACCTATTTTATTGAATAAAGGCATTGCCACTATTATTTTCAGTTATGTGTATGTGTTTAACATAAACTGAAAGATCATAAAGTCCATATAATAATATTATTAAAAGATCCATAGTCAAGTATTATTATGGGAATGGACAATAATAATACGCTTAAGACTAACATGTTATTGATTGATGACAAGGAGTTGTCATTGACAGAGAGATGTCAGAATTGATACATGATTATATTGTTAGAGAATAATGTATTGGATTGACCCGTCATGAGCATATGTCTTGGATTATTATGTAACGGTCATAACATTGCTCATGGTGATGACTATATGTATGATCCTTAGACTTGAGATCAATTTCATCCCAACATATATTCTTGTATTTTTTATACATTTAAACGCTCCATAACTGGTTGCACTATAAAGACTGATATTGAATATATTTCGATATATGTAGTGGGGTGTATATGGTTAAGATAAGATTTGTCCTTCCTACAAAATAGGAAATATATCACAGGCCACTTGATTGAGTGAGAATAGAAATGCATGGCCATGCTTGAATAAGTTGATATGTGATATCATATTCGTTAATTATAATCTACTCTAGATATCAAGAAACAATAAATGATCTATACAAGTGTGACTATTCTAAGACTTGTGACTATTCTAGATATAAAGGAAAAAAGATGTAATACATAAAAGAGTTAATCACAAAGATGATTTGTCGAATCATAATTTCTTGTAACTTAGGTGACAATGATATATTGCTAGATGTCACTCATTGTATGTAATATTAGAATTGTTCTAATAATTACTACTAACATTATAAGAACCTACAGGGTCACACCATATGATTGAAATGAGCAAAAATGTACAATTTGTTGTATGTTACTAAAATATATCTAGAGTTATGATATGTATATTTGATATACATATGATTTTAATTATCTCAAATATAGTAAGTAAGCATTAAAAGAATGTAATTTAGATTACAACTATTTTAATTGGTATATATAATTCAGAATAATTAAATAAGTTTTTAAATAAACATTAAGGATTATAATTCAGATTATAAGTCTTTAATGTATATTTAATTGAATTAACTAAATAATATTTTATTGTTTATTCAAAATAACATTGAAAACCCTAAGATGTTAGGGTAATGAATATAAAAGGTTGTGTTAGGTCTAGCAGTTGTTTTTATCACACACACATAAATCTTCAGCCATTTTCTCTCAAAATAGTTTTGGGGAAAACAAATATTTCTCTAAATCGTTTGAACGGAGTAGAGGCCAAGATGTGATTACGTGGAGGCTTACGATTTGAACCGATCTAAACCACCAGTATTCATTGTTGTCCTTGCTATTTTTCAAGGAACCTGTTTTAAGTATTCGCATCCCTTCCTCCCGATTTCGATTTTTCGTACTTGGATTGTTGGTGAGATCGTCGAGTTTTATTTTCGCTGCACCATGGGGTGCGCCGATGGTCCCAACACTAATGCCTTTGGTGATTGAATGGTATGATCATATTTCATATGCTCTGGCTGGGGTTTTAATTCAAGCTTTAGTGATTCTTCAATAGATGGCTTCGGTGCTTGAATGGTATGATCATTCATTTGAAAAGGTTCAATATTCTGTAAATATTTGCTAAACGTTCTTATTCTACATCATTCAAGAAACATTATTCAAGATAATGAAAGAATTGTGATTATCGTTCAAGCGCATAGTTAATTATATTTTTTTAACATCAATTAAAGCTCAACCTGTGGCAAGGAATGGGCGGCCAAGAATAATTGGAATATCTTTTTCCGCTTCACAATCCAAAATGATGAATTCTGTAGGAAAGATAAACTTGTCTACTCTCACAAACATTTTCTCCACAATACCACTAGGATGTACGGTAGAGCGATCAACGAGTTATAAAGTAACAGTAGTGGGCCTTGTTTCGTCACTCCCAAATTTCCTAAAGATTTAAAATGGCATTAGATTTATGTTGGAACCCAAATCACATAAAGTTTTACCTACAAATGTGTCACCAATGTTACAAGAAATAGTAAAACTACCTAGATCTTTAAGCTTCATTGGCAATTGACTTGTAACTATAGCGCTACAGCCTTCCATAAGAGCAGCAGTCTCAAACTCATTAGTCTCCGTTTCTTTAAAAGAACTTCCTTCATGAATTTGATATAGTTCGGGTTTTTCTTTAAAGTTATTATCAATGGAATATTAATTGTTAGTTAGCGAAAAACATCAATAAAAGCTTTGTATTAATGATCTTTCTTTGTCTTTTTGAAGCACTATGGTTATTGTTTAGGCATTAAAGTCGGTTGAACATCTAATACAATAGCGGTTTTTATCAGCAATGACTCTGAATTACTACTTTTCCCTGCTTCTGGTGCTATGAATTTACTCACAAGTGATTCGGGCTCAACTTCTTTGCTTTTCCCTTTACCATGCTTGTGAGCTTCCTCATTATTTCTCCTAGGTTGTTCGACTAGTTCCACAGTATGAATTCCACTTCTTTAAGTAATGGCCTTGCAATGCTCTTTACCATTTTCTTGAGATTCTCAATGTCTCTAGGAAACATTCCTTGCAATTGACTATTTAAAGCATTAGCCCTTTGTCCCATCTGATTTTCTATAGCCCTTAATGAGGCAGATTGGCTTTCCATATATTCTTTCAGCATAACTTCAAGAAGTGTTAAATTTGAAGTTTGGTTTGAAGATTGACCTTGATAATTCTACCTTTTTTTATGGTTAAGTAACTGGTTGTCATGGCTGTGGCTATGGCATGTGGATCTTCTGAGTATAATGTTGTTGTTGATACTGCTGATGTTGTGGATTGGCAACATTCTAACTTCTCCAAGAAAGATTGGGATGATTTCTGAAATTTTCATTGTATGCATTGCCAAAAGCATTATCATTCATTTGATAATTTTGCACATAGTAAATAGACTCTGAATTTTGGGGGCATTCATCAAAATTATGGTTATTTCCACAGTATACGCAAGTGATAAGAGATATGGCTTTCTCTTCGTACATTTATCCTGGCTTGTGCAACTTCTTCACCATTTCAGTCAATGTTGAAATATGAGATGACATAGAATTGAAAGCTTCAGAGTCTGTTGCTACAACATTATGTCAACCAAACGTATTACGCGTATTAGGATATTGACAATCATTAGTGGAGATTCTTTCTAGAATGTCATATGCATAATTATATGTCTTATCCAACAAAGCTCCATTTTCTAAAGCATCAACCACCACATGAGTGTGTATATTTAGCCCATTATAAAACATCTTCATTTGATTCCAATGTGGGAATCCATGCATAGGATAATTCCACAACAATTCTTTAAATTTTTCCCATGCTTCATACAAGCTTTCATCTTCCGTATGATTGAACAAAGATTAATTGTTTTCAAGTTTAGTATTCAAGTTCGGTGGGTTGAACCGTAACAAGAATTTATACGCTAATTCATTCCAGGATGCTATAGCACCTGGTGGTAGTGAACTCAACCAAAATCGTTCTTTATCATGCTACGAATAAGGAAATAGCTTCAGTTTCAGTACCTACTCTGGAACACCTTACTGAATAAAAGAATCACAAATCTCCATAAATCCTCTCAAATGAGCCCTAGGATCTTCAGCATTGATCCTCCATACTTTCACATATATTGTAGTAATTGGAACATAAATGGCCTTAATTTGAAATTCGCACCATTAATATCTAGCCTCATAATGCCCGAATGAATATCATCCAACATCGGTAGTGCATACTCTTGAATAGGATGATTACGATCATCCAAGTTCTGATATGGTTTCCCAGCTCCAATGCTAGCTGACAGCTCATAATTCTCTCCATTTTATAGTGGGGGGTAAAATATCATTCCCTCTTCCAACCATAGCAGCTTCATGGGGACATCTCCTAAAAGTTCTTTCAATCTCATGGTCAAATGGCTCTAATTGTTCGTCGCTTCAGGGTATACACTAATAAAAAAGAATATCTACAAAAGAAAACAACTATGTAAGAAAAATAAATAAAACCCTAAATTAAATCGATGTTCCCCGATAACGGTTCCAAAAACTTGGTGTTAGGTAAGATGATATAGCATTTAACGCAAGTATATGCATCACTCAAGTAATAAAGTGGTAACAATTGATGCTACAGATATCGAACCCACGATGAGCAAAGTGTTACCATTAGAGTTTGTTAAAATAGGATTTGTCAAGTATAAGAATCACTAAAAAGAATATAATAAAATCAATAAGGAAAAACACTAGTTCATGCTACAGTATTCCAGAAAGCACTTGGTCAGCTATCAAAACAATGGATAAAATATTATGAACTTCAAATCACATGCAAACAATGTACACTCAATTTATGTGATTAGTATTAACTAAGACCTTTTGAACTACTTTAACCACCTTCATTAATTAAAGGCTCAAAATATTGACAACACAAATCAATTGGTCGCATACTTTTTAGCACACACTATGCTACTCAACAACACCAATGCTGACAAAAGTATACAGCAAATTGACTAAAATTATTTCTAGAATTAATCAAAAATACTATATATTTAATTATAAGTGTTTTTACTCACAATCATAAAGTACCACACTAATAAATAACTATCAGATAAACCTAAAATAAGAAATTCACAATATCATCCAACAAATGCTTAAACATTCAAATCACTCCCTCTCTAAATAGAAGGCCTTGAACGGTGATCTGCTGACCACTGATGCTACTCAGCAAGCTTCCCTTATGCTGTAATAATCCCTAGCTGGGGGCTTAGGCTTCCATGGTGTTTGAAGGTTTAACGTGGAAATTTGGATACTTGGAAAGGCTCTCGATCATCACACTCTTTGTGCTCAAGTACTCCCCTTTTATAGCTTGGATAAGAATTTCATCTCCTAATAAAAAAAAGTCCATGTTTCAAGTGATATCCAACCAAATGAAAGTTACCCAAGCTAACTGTCCCAATCCAGAAGATTCTCCCAATATTCTAGAGCTTAGACGACAGCTGCAACATCCGTTCAACATTTCCTGCAATGATATGGCATCAGTGTAATAGTTTTTAACAACAAAATTCTATTTTAACCCTTAACAACCCGCAATGCTCCTCCAATGCAAAATTTATAAAACAAAGTAAATATAATCTTCAAAAGCTCCTAAACATGCTTAAGTTCAAACTAAACCTAGATAGAAAAGGCTATTAAAGATAACTCTTTTAGAGAGTTATCAGTTGCCTCAGTGGCTTAGTGTGGCACTTTTGGCTCAACTGGGTTTATGGTGTTACATTTAGTGGTATCATTGCGTCATTTGAGTTTTTCCTAGGAGTGGTCAGTTTTAGTTAGGTGCTAGTGAATACATGCCCCTAGCTACTTAAAGTACATGTATAAGTGTAGAATCCTGTTAGTGTTTCCTTTCTTAATCTGTGTTGTAGGGTGTTATGATGGTCGATAGTTCCGAGCATGGTTTTTAGGATAGGATTTAGAGCCAAACCTCTCATCCATACAGTGTGAATGAAGAGTTACTGCCTAGGGCTGAGGGTCATGGGATTCCGTTAGGAGCAGGAGTTGCAGATGCATCTTTCTTCAGAGGTTTGACCTCCACTATCAAGGAGATAATGGATACCATTCCAAGAGCGTATATTGTGCAGTCAACCACCTATAGTACGTTAATGTCAGATGAGACCCTAGTAGAGAGACAGATGAGGTATAAGACAATTGACTTCTATGGTTCAAGAGATGATGATCCGATTTCTATCAGTGGTTAAGAGAGATCATGAGGACTCTGAGGCCGCTTCATCTTACCCCAAAGGGTGAGTTAGAGTATGTCATTGCTTTACTCAAGGGTGATGTTATCGATAGGTGAGAGACTATAGAGATGGCTCTATAGTCATATGTGCCTACATAGGAATAGTTCTTAAATGAGTTTATAGGCAAGTATATTGGTGAAGAGAACATAGATGGTTTGTGGATACAGTTCTCCCAGCTAGTTCAGGGGGACCATCCGGTGTAGGAGTACAAGAGATATTTCCTCCGTTTGATCCGTTACACTCCAGATTTAGTTGTAACTTAGTCCTTGAGTAACTTCATATTGATATCCATGAGTAGTTAGAGGTAGACCTGACTATAGTGTTTTTTGAGTTGACATGGCAAGCTAAGGTCGTGATGATGGTGAAAGCTATAAGGAAGAGTTTGTTGGCCAAATCAGATAGCCCAAGTATGAGAACCTATGTTCCAATAGATCGATATTATTCAGTGGTCGAGAGAACTAGAGGTTCACGTGAGCATAGGAGAGTGACGTTAGCTTTGTCACTCTATTTGAGTCAGAGGTAAGACGTAGGGTCTCGTAGGAGACCGCCAGCTTCTTTGTTTGTGACAAGCTCTAAAGGCTCTTATAGAGTTTCGAGGTATCCATAGTGTGAGTATTGTGGCATTGGTTCTTATGGGTGTAGATCATTGGCACATATGGTGAGGGATTATACTAGTTCAGTAAGCGTTGGTTCTATGATTAGACAAGAGAGTAGAGGAGAGGTTAGACCTGTATCTAGTTCAATGATGTTCGATCCCTCTTGGCAAATAGCAGAGGGGAAGGGTCAAAATGTTGATGACGCAGATCAACTATCAGGTATTGTAACACCCATAACCCGTATAATTATACCTATACAGAATATGGATGTCACCCGAATTTCTTAAAACCATTTCCACTTTTACAAGTGATTTAAAATTTATTTTCTTAAAATGGTAATTGATATTATAAAAATATCATTCCATATAATTTATGATTCATTATAAAAAATTTAATTCAAAAGTTTTTTATATGAATAGTGAACAGTGACGATGAACAGTGGGGGAATCGGTTCCCTGTAGGGGGAATCAGTACCCCATTTATATACTGAAAAATTTTGCTTAAAATGTGGTTACTGTTCATGCTATAATGCTGTTACAGTAACTGCTACAGTAACTTTCAAAAATACATATAAATTCAATAAAATTCCATTTTGTTTACAAATTTGTTTAACAAAACAAATTAAACATTTATAAAATTAAATGCCACTATTTAAATCAAATTCCATCATAGGATGTCTTACTGATATTGAAATATACCTCTCGATGCTTGATGACGCTTCGAACTCTTTATTCTATTACTGGCTTTTTACCTACACGTGAAAATCATCAGACGCTAAGTATAAACTTAGTGAGGCAATTAAAACATTTAACAGTGCAATACAATTAATGCATGATTTTCAATCTCAAATTAAAAATGCCATAAAATCATTTTATTTGCATATCCAATATTTTATCATGATCAATATAATATAAAATCTTTTATCATTTATCTTATAAGCTCGTAAGTTTATTTTACCAAAATACTTACCATTTAAATTCCATAAGCTCTTAAGCTTATTTTATCAACATACTTACCATTTAAATTCCATAAGCTCGTAAGATTATTTGCATACTTACCATTTATTAACCAATAAACCATAACTCATAGACAATAGCCCAATATAAAACCCCAAGGACCCTGGGTATTCGAGTAAAATACATGCACCGTAGTGCTAAACCTGCACTAAGCTTACACCATAGTGCCAATCCAGATATGACACATAAGGTCGTGCCCACCACCTACACTAAGCTTACGCTATAGTGCTAATCCGAACACGATACATTAAGTCGTATCCACCTTACCGTAGTTAGTGACCTTTCACACTATAATGCTTTTATAAACTTGCAGCTACTATACTCTATGGCATGCCAACTATACCCTGTCCCTCAATGGCTTACTTGGGCATATAGTTTATTTCATTTGATTCATCCATGGCAAAGTATATTATCAATATTTAACATTGGGCAGTTCATACCCGAAAAACATTCATGGTAAATTATCATAATTTCCATAATCAATGCATTATATTTTTCAACCTTTGACATATTTAAAAATATATCAAATATATGATAAATGACGTATATCATGCTGATATAAACAAGGTCGACTTATCGCAAGTCTTGCTGATGATGTATACAACATCCATGTATAATTTCATGCATGTATTGGACTCACCTTGACACTTTATGTCTTTCAAAATATATGAACCTCACTATTCACCACCAAAAGCCCTTTTTATATTTGATTTGTTTCGATTACAAATCAAATCACAATCTGTATAAATCACAAATGTATAACGATACATATGTTAGTATTGTGCTAACATAAACATATCCCATAATAACTCTATATTCAGACAACTCGCACTACCTTTAAAGAATCCGTATTCTGTATTGATATACACACTGGAATTTAATTTTCGTTTATTCCGTTCAAAACTATACTCGAATAAAAATCTATCCATATAAATAACTCCTTCTAATTCATTCTGTACAATTTATGGTGAATTTTCAAAGTTGATCAA